CTCCCCCATCCATGGCCGATGCCCCGCCGAGTTCCGGCGGCCTGGCCGTCGACCCGACCACAAAGGTGAAGAAGAAGGCGCCAAGGAAGCCGCGATCGGAGTGCACGCCGGAGGAGATCGCCAAGTTGGACACGGAATCGGCGAAGAGGAGGGAACGGAGAGCGGCCGTCAAGATCAATGCCGCCGCGGCTAAGTTCGTCGCCCAGCGCGAGGAGCTGGAGGCCGCGCGGCGCAAGGCCGCGCGGCGCAAGGCCGCTGCCGACGGGAAGGAGGACCTCGTCAACAAAGTGCACGCCATCCTCATGCTTGGCATGGGTCGTCCGGCGGGGTTCCATGCAGCGGCCGTCGGCCCGGCGAGCACAGGCTCGTCGGTCGCCCGGCCTACGCACTGCCAGTCGCCGACGTCGCGCGCCGCGCCCATGTCGCACGGCTTTCCTCCGCCCAGGCACGACGGCCAGACCTGTTTCTCGGCGTCGCCGGACGTGGGCTTGTTCGCGCCGTCCACACCACGCCCCGCGGCCGTCATTGACCTCAACGTCATGCCTGGGTCCAGCAGCGGCGGGCGGCCGTCCGTCGAGATGCAAATAAAGTAGGCGCGTGCACCGTTCACGGGCACCATGCCGGCCCCCCGCGTGTTGTCTGACGGAATGCCGACCTCAACGCCGACGGTGGACGACCCCTTCTACAATCAGTACATGGAGGACGTGATCTTCCAGGGTGGGCATGGCCGTGCCTACGACCCCGAGGCGACCCAAAGTCAGGATGGCCGCGCCCAGTACGTGCCCGATGAGGAGGCCGACGACCGTGCTGACTACGACCATGGTGATTCGTGGCATGAAGACGACGACATATATGTCGAAGGTGAAGATGAAGATGAAGCCAATGATGTTGATATTAGTGGCGCTCCATTGTTCATAGACGAGCTCACCCAAAGAGCGGAAGCACAAAAGAAGCGGAAGAGCATTCGCACCGGTTCATATACACAAGATGAGGACAAGTTGATTTGTCAATGTTGGATGGAGATTAGCCAAGATCCAAGGACCGGCGCGCAACAAAAGGGCATTGTTTTTTGGACGAGAGTCCACAAAACATTCCATGAAAGGAAGATGTTTGAGCCCTACCAAATTACAAGCAACCGTGGCATCGGTTCGATTCAAAAAAGATGGTTGTTCATCCAACAAGAGTGCAACAAGTATTATGCCGCATTTGAGAGCGTTGAAGCACGGCCCGTGAGTGGTCTTGGCGTTGGGGACATGGTATGCTCTTCTCTTTCTAGCCCTTTCCTTGCTACGGCCATGATACTTCGGCCGTGTATATGTTTGCATGTTCACTTGTTGTTGATCATGTGGTGTAGGCATTTCAATCTTTGGAGACATTCAAGGCCCGGCACAATGACAAGCCATTCACTCTTACGCATTGTTGGGCGCTCATCAACAATTGCCCTAAGTTCAAGGATCAATACCGTGAACTTCAAAGAAATAGAGGCAAGAAAATGGCCAAGTTCGTCGGAGGTGGGGATGGCGAGGCGTTGAAGAGGCCGAGGGGCAAGACCAACTCCAGGGTGGACGACATACGTGACGCCTCAACCATGCCTTGCATGAGACTTTGCATGGCATGATGTCACATAAGGATGTGAGGGACGAGAAGAAGCGGCAAAGCAAGGACGAGCAAATGAAGCAATACCTAGACCTCCAAAGACAGAAGCTTGAGATGGAGGAGGCTGCCAAGAAGAGGAAGATAGACATGGAGGAGGCGGCCCGGCAAAGGCAGCTCGACATGTAAGAGGCCGCCCGGCAAAGGCAGCTCGACATCGAGGCCGGCAACATCAAGGCCAGGCAGAGGCAGCTCGACATCGAGGCAACCAATGCCGCCACCAAAGCGAAGGAGGTGGCCCTTGCAATCATGAGCGTGGACTTGTCGAAGATGAGCGACAAGACGAGGGCCTGGTTCGAGGCCAAACAGAAGGAGATGCTCGACACCGAAGGCCTGAACTAGGTCGTCCGATCGGCGTGGCCGTTCTTTTTGGAGGCTGGCATGGGTGCCGCCCGCCCGCTGGGCCGCTGGCAGTGTGCCGGCGAAAAAACATTCACTTTGGAGGTCGGCTGTGTTGCCGGCCGCTGGCTGTGTTACCGGCGAGGACAACTATTCATTTTGGAGGCTGGCTGTGTTGCCGTCCGCTGGCTGTGTTGCCGGAGATGGCCGTGTAGGCCGCTGGCTTTGTTGCCAGCGTGATGAACTGGAGTTGTGAACTGGGGCTTGGCATTTGAAACGTCCCTTTTTTTAAAATAGACGCGGACAGGATGGGGCAAAAGGATGCGTCCGCGCGGTGGGCAAAAGAATAAGGACAGGCCCGGACACGACCCCAAATCCCTATCCAAAAGGACAAAAACAGGACAAAAAGGGCGTCCGTTTGAGGTCGCGCACTGTGGAGTTGGTCTTAGCAAAGGTTTTCCTTTTGTGCAGAATGGGGACTTCGTTGGCATCCAATATGTTTTGTCTTGCGAATCTGAGATAAAGTAGAATGCTCGGCAGCTGTTGTCGACTTTTACGGTAGTGGCGCATCGGCACATTGACATCGGCGTCCCTATTCAGCACGTACGACCTGTCTGGTGTGTGCCATTCTTCTACCTTTGCGCTTTGCACTTTGCTCCAGCTCCGGTCCTCAAATCCTTGAGCATGTACGTATAAGAGAGGCCCGCGTGGCCGGCGTCTGGCGTGGGAAGGCGGTCATGGCGCCTGCCGAGGACGACCAGCAGCCGCTGCACATGCTCTTCTTCCCCTACCTCATCCCGATGGCCGACATCGCCGCGCTCTTCGCGGCTAGCAGCGCCCGGTGCACCATCCTCACCACGCCCGTGCAAGCTTCCATCATCCGCTCCATCGTCAACCTCCGTTCCCCGCCAATCGACATCGTCGTCGTGCCTTTCCCTGAGGTCGGTCTTTCGCCGGGCGCCCAGAGCGGCTTCCCTGGTGACCATGGCAAGCTCCAGCAGGCGGCGCGGCTGCTCCGGGAGCCATTCCGGCAGTTCCTTGCCGACCACCACGCCGGCCTCGACGCCGTGGTCTCCGATAGCTTCTTCCCCTGGTCGCTGGACGTCGCGGCTGAGTATGGCGTCCCGCGGCTCGCGTTCCTCGGCACCAGCATGTTCGCCCGGTGCTGCGCCGAAAGCTTGCTGCGCAACCACAACCCCGACGACGACGACGACGACGGGGGTGATCCCAACGCCGTCTTCTCCGTACCCGGGCTGCCGCACCGCGTGGAGCTGAGGCGGAGCCAGATGATGAGGCGCCCGGACCAGTTGGCGTTCGTCAAGGGCATCTACGCCGCGGACCAGAAAAGCTACGGCGAGCTGGTCAACAGCTTCCACGAGCTCGAGCCGGACTACGTGGAGCACTACCGCACGACGCTCCGCCGCCGCGCGTGGCTCATCGGGCCGGTGGCACTCGCTAGCGGCAGCAAGGACGAGGCGTCCAAAGGCACCGACGCGCTCTCGCCGGACGCGGACGGCTGCATCCCCTGGCTCGACGCCAAGCCGGCTGGATCGGTAGTCTTCGTCGCCTTCGGCACGCTATCCAGCTTCTCGCCGGAGCAGCTCCCGGAGCTCGCCCGCGGCCTCGACCTCTCCGGAAAGAACTTCGTGTGGGTCATCCCCGACGCCGACGCAGCATCGTCGGCCATATGGATGCCGGAAGGCTTCCCGAGGGCTACTCGTGGTTACATCATCCGCGGCTGGGCGCCGCAGGTGCTCATCCTAAACCACCCAGCGGTCGGCTGCTTTCTGACGCACTGCGGGTGGAACTCGACGCTGGAGGCGGCGAGCGCCGGCGTGCCGATGGTGACGTGGCCGCGCCACGCCGACCAGTTCTTCAACGAGAAGCTGGTCGTGGACGTGCTCGAGGTCGGCGTCAGCGTCGGCGCCAAGGACTACGGGTCGTCCACGGAGACCCATCGGGTGATCGGCGCCGAGATGATCGGCGACGCCGTCAGGTTATTGATGGAGGAGGTCGAAGGTGACGCGATGCGAAGAAGGGCGAGCGACCTCGGCCTAAAAGCGAGGAGCGCAGTGGAGAAGGGTGGATCGTCCTACGGTGATGCTGGACAGCTGCTGGATGAGCTCATGGCCCGCCGGAGTCGGTAACCGGGTGGTGGACGGTGATTCGATGGTGACGGCTAGTTACTTTTGAGCTTGCCGCACCATAAAAATCTTACTTTCAATAGACAAATGCAACGTTGGAACGCACCAAGAATAGCAAATTGACGTACGATGCCATGCTGGAAACGAAATGCCAAGTTTTTTTTCTTTTCAAGAAGAAAAGATTATGTTTCTGCATTGGCAATTTAGCATGATACCGAAATATTTTTTAAGTCAATTGCACCACTGATCCTAAAACTTAGCACGAAAAATCAGTTTAGTGCTAAAACCTGGGCATACATTGAACCGGTGTTCACAATTTGGTTTTGACGTGCATATACGATGCAAATCACGTTTGTATACGACACGATGCTGACTTGCGCGCCAACGTGGCATGGGACCTGCTGTCAGCCACCAAAAGATATAATTTATGAGGACCAATCTTTCACTCAGAGATAGCAGGTTACCTTTCCAACTGCTTAACTTTTTTGTAGTCTCTCCTTGACGTGTTTACATTCAGCATTTGTGACGGCTCGTTACTTTTGAGCTTGCCACGCCATGAAAAATCTTACTTTCAATAGACAATGCAACGTTGGAACGCACCAAGAATAGCAAATTGACGTACGATGCCATGCTGAAAACGAAATGCCAAGGTTTTTTTTTCTTTTCAAGAAGAAAAGATTATGTTTCTGCATTGGCAATTTAGTATGATACCAAAATACTTTTTTGAGTCAATTACACCACTGGTGCTCAAACTTAGCACGAAAAGTGAGTTTAGTGCTAAAACTTGGGCATACATTGAACTGGTGTCACAACTTGGTTTTGACGTGCACATATGATGCAAATCACGTTTCTATACTACACGGTGCTGACTTGTGCGCCAACGTGGCATGGGACCTGCTGTCAGCCACAAAAAGATACTATAATTTATGAGGACCAATCTTTCGCCCTGAGATAGCATTTCCAACTGCTTAACCTTTTTTTGTAGTCTCTCCTTGACATGTTTACATTCAGCATTTGTGAGTCTTCGATAATGTATCGTATCCTCAAATAACTGATCGAAAACCGACCTAACCCCTAGCCAAACAATCCGCGTACAGGTAGGCCTCGTCTTGAGCCTCGCCAAAAAAATTCACTTTCATAGAATTTTATCTTAAGACCCAAGAGATGCACAAATGCTGACAAAGTTAATTTCAGATTCCCCGCTTTCTCTAGATCATGATCCATAAAGTAAATCGTATCCTTGGCATGTTGAAGGACAGAAAGTCCACCATCAACTAGATGATTAACGACCTCGTCAATTTGGCCATCAACCTTTACACGCTCAATGATGACAACTAACATATCAGTCACTATAATAAATATCATGGGCGATAATGAGTCACCTTGTCTCAATCCTCTCTTCATTTGGAAGTAGCGGCCAACGTCATCATTGACCTTAATGGCTACACTCCCACCGGAAACGAAGCTATGAACCAGGGAATGCCACTCGGTAGAGAAGCGTTTCATTCTGAGAGTTTGTTGAATAAAAGACCACTTGACTTTATCATAAGCTTTCTCAAAATCAATGACTCATATAGCCACCACAGTAGCGCATCGATCACATGATGAGCTCAGCGCCCTCATCGCCACAAGAACTCCATGAGTATAGGCTCAATCCTCCACCCAGCTCGAGCTTGGGCACATGGCCAATAACAGAAATGCAACCCTTAATGACAAGACTAACACGAATTGAGTGTTATTGGCCTCGGCACATGAGTTTTTACTTCTATAATGATAGAGGTCACGTTCACAAGGCTTGCATGGAGCCTGACTTATTGGCAGGGTCATTAGAGTGTTAGACCCTACATGTAACAAGGCAAGGAGCCCCGGCTGAATCATCAGATAGCTAAATTGAAGAAGAGCCGAAACAAGATGGAGACGAGAGATGCATTGTGTGTTTGTAACTCTAGATGTATGTGCATGTGTCCAGTTCAGAGTGTGTGCATGTGTCCATGTGTTGTATGTGTGATGCCCGTCAGAGTGCGTGTAGGTGCACACACTATATGATCTATGCATGTGCATCAACAACCAAACGATTTCAAACTTGCCACCATTCAACCTACCATGTGTCAAGCAATGATAGACAACAAGACATGATATATAGATCGATAAATAAGAGGTCTATAGTATGTTCATTTGTTAGATCTCTCCTTTTCACAACATATTAACAATCGATCGTCAGATGTCATGAGTCACACTGCCCCCAAAACAAATTTGGTGGCTACGGTTTCAACAGGAAAGACTTTATGATGCTTGCAAACTTGATCCACCAAATACTGACTCAAAAATTAATGAAACTTAGATAAACAAGAACTACCATTAGGCATACATTACAGGAAAAGCAAGAGTTCAATGTTTAGAGTAGGAACGACTTTGCCCTTCTAAGGCATAAGGAAAGGTTGTGTTTCATAGCAGTAGTCTAACAATCACACTACATTTGGGTGCTTCGGTGTCATAAGAAGATCAACCAAATTCTTAAATTGCTTCTGTGATTTTGGTGTTGACTGCACAAGCATCTTCACTGCAACCACTTCCCCGTTTTGTAGCAGTCCCTATTTAAAGTCTCTGATTTATATGGATATTGGTTTATATCAAAATAGTATGGTTACATATTTGAGGGGGAAAACATATACACATTAACATTATACCTTATATACCACACCAAAACATCAATTAGCAATTATTCATTCCCTTGAGAAATTTTCTCTGATATCTTTCAAATGTTATAACGACACTTGGTGTCGCTCGGATCCTGTCTGCAACAAAGAAATACTCCTTCGATTAATAAGGGATTTATGTTAGTACTATGTGTTATTAACTTTGAGGTTATATCATAAAAAATATTTACTTCAATATTAGACAAAACTGTCGATAATACATGTAATATATTTGTTGTTTTAATACACGAGCACGTAGCACCGCCCTCCTAGTCATGTCAAAGGTGCGGGGTGCCCTCTGCGGGCTAGCTAGAGAGATGCAAGAGAACCTTGCTACAATCATGAAACACCATCAACCGCGTGAATGAGGCACGACCTTAGAAAATGTCCATGCAAGACAACAGGAGAGGACTAATCAACTAGCATGCCTTAATGATATAAAATTTATTAGTGTGGGATGTTGGGGCTGGGTTGGCTTTGCATTCTATAATGTGATCCGTTTGAGGAATTAGAGCTAGGTAGTGTGAATTGAAAGGGTAAGACACTTTAAATTTGTCATGTGGTTAGGGGCGCAGAAATCGAGGAGAGATTAGGCTAGTCTTAGTGAGGAGTAACTTAGAACAGTGTCATGCATATGATACTAGTCTATGTTACTATCTTTATAGTGGAAAGTATCATAGAGGTAGTATCTTAAATGATTCCATTTTCATTTTGAAATTGCGGAGCACATATAAATTCTCAACATCCATCGTACATACCTGCACAGTTAGCTGTGACATTATTGTGATATTGGCTTCGACTTCCTCCAGTTCATGAACAATTTCCTTCACGGTAGGTCTTTTATTTTGGTCCATGGCGACACACCTTAATGCAATCTCAACACACGTCCTCACTCGTAGGATGTCCTCTTTGAGTGATGCATAGCTCATCATTGTCTGCAACCTTTTCGTCCAGTTTTGAGTTACCTGCGTGCAAATTTCATGCATAAATCTCCCTACATAGATACTAGATCGTTGGCAATGCCAAAAGAATTAAACAAACACGTGTATACAATGTGAAAGAGACCTAGGTATGTTCATTCGAAACAGAGATGATTTTTCTTACAAGCTCAAAAAACTGTTCGGGGGACATCTTAGAACATCTGTAATAGCCGTTATTTCCAGCGAGTATTTTTATCATTATGACGCCCAAACTGAACACGTCAAACTTGTTTGATATATCGCCACCATCAACGAACTCCGGTGGCATGAACCCACTGCTTTGATATGGTCAATTAATAACGTACAAGGAAAATTTTGGTCAAAAGCTGTCAAAATAACTGGCTTACAACATGATCCATCAACTTACAGTGTTCTGTCGTGATTATCTGTTGAAGCAACAGGTCTTGAAAAAACAAGATTTGCAATTTTGGGCGTCATACTTCTATCCAGCAAAATATTACCAGGCTTTAAGTTCAGATGGAAAATAGGATTTCCCTGCAAGCTGTGCAGGTAATTCAGTCCCTCACCAGTCCCTTTGATAATCTTGTAACATGTGGGCCACTCAAGTCCACAAGATTCATCTACGATTAGTAGAGAAAGATGCATATAAAATAGGCTATTGAATCATTCATCTTGATAGGAAAACTAATATATTTAGCCCATTGTCGACCATACAAATCTTTCCTACTACCGGGTGTAGTTACACCCACTTTTGTTTCGTACGTTTTAGGTAGTATCTATCACATCGAAGAGTATGTACGCGTATTATGTAGTATATAAGAATGTTTAGATAGTATACATACTACTTTTTTGGTAGTATGTATCATATTTTGTGCATACTCCATTTTGCGTACAAATATGTACGTATTTCACAAATACAATAAAACTATGGGCTCACTTGCAATTTTCCCATATAATTCACTTTGGAGTATCTTAGATATAGTATATAAACATACTAAAAATAATAAAATATATATATATACTACCACATGGTAGTATATAAGAAATGGGTGTAACTACACCCGGTAGTAGGATGCAT